TCCGAAAATAATATTTTTGCTTGCTGCTTTACCGCTCAACAACTTCTCTCCTTGAGATAGATCAACTAGTTCCCATGTTTTATTTTTCTTAATTGACTACATCTCATCCTTTATTGCTTATATCTATTTTGGATCACTCAAATCCTAATCTGTTTTCATCGGTTCTGATTTATCCATGAGCTTAAAATGGAATCCTATTATCATTTACTTCATTATCTGGGAACAACTCACAGACTTGCAATCTCTCACATACATGTTTTTTTTGCCTTGTTTAACTTCTCACATTTTCTTCCACTTGGACTTCATCAGCTACAGTTTCTGGCCCTTCAACAGAAACAATTCCACCATTGTGGTAGCCTATTACAATTGGCTGGTAATCAATTACTGTATGTTGCCAGTCCCTCAGGTCATCAAAAATCACGTCCCTACTGGTTACGATTCTTTTGTTAACTAGAGTTTATAACCACCTATTTAGTGATAGCCAACAAGTATTATTTGATCTCTCTTGACATCTAACTTCTTCCTAAGTTTATCCAAAACATGTCTATACGCCACCGACCCAAACAATCTCAAGTGACTCATATTTGGTTTGAATCCAGACCATGATTCTTTGAGTGTGACATTTTTCAACTTCTTTTTTGGACACCTATTCAACAAATATGTTCTTTTAGCAAGTGCTTCCATTTTAACATGCTTCTTACCATATTCATAACTGATCGATTCTTTCTCTCAGCGACTCCATTTTGTTAAGGTGTATAGGGTGACACTACCTCATCTACACCACCTCAAGATGACTCGTGGTTCTACATCCTACATCTTTGCCTAAGCCTCCTTTGTGTTGCTTGGCATGAACTCACTCTTCACATACTTCAATTGGAATATTGATCAATGGAAGCCCTGTAACCATGTTATTTTATGCATAACATTGAGATTTATGAAATTCAAATTCCCAATCCTATATGGTCAAATATATTCCTCCATACTACCTGCCGTTGCAAGACACCCGTGCTTTATTACTTTTAAGTTAGTCTTGAAAAATCTATTATGAGTCATATGGGCCTTTAGGATCAAAATCCTACTTGAATCCATAACTTTCATCACTTTATTTTTCATGTGAATCTTGTAATTCCTTTAAAGCAATTTACTAATGCTTAAAATAATACACTTGACTCCAGGAATATACAACACATCTTTAATCAAAGAATGCTCATCATTATTTCTCTTGATTGATATGTCACAAATCCCCTATGTTGTTTGTAACACCCCGAATTTAATCGAAATATTTTAATTAATTTATTTAATTGAGAATGTTCATGTTTCGGTGATTTTTCGGTAGTTGGTGAATTACTGGAAAAATGTGCATTTTTGGGTTATTTATTTGATTAATAGCATATAATATTAATTTATTAATATTATTATTAATTAAAATGAATATAAGTGGAATAAGGGTAATTTGGGCATTTGAAGGAGTTAGTAAGGGTAATGAGGGAAAAGCCCAAATTGAGAGGCCCAAGACTAGGTTTGACAAAATCGAGTTCTGAAGGGAAATTAGAATTATTTTGTGTTAACCGTGAAAAGTTTGGTGGCCAGAGCTCTGAAGGAAAGATTGGAGGCAGAAGATTTCCAGAGTTAATCGTGAAAGCTTTGAATCAGCTAATGTATGGGGAGTATAGAATTTTCATGATTTTCCATGTATGCCTTTCGATGTGTTTATGGTTGATTTAAGATTTGAGGGGTTTCAGGTTGATTGTGGGAAAATAGGGAAATTGATAGTGAGACTCTGAAGTGGTGGTTAGTGGTTAGTATTCTTGACTGTTTGATGTGTAATATGAGAAGTAGGAAACCTTAGGCCTTTGTGGCCAAAAACCTTGGATTGTTATATGTCTGACCCTGAAGGGATTGAATATTGAATAGTGAGTAACTCTAATGCCGTAGGATTTAATTGAAGGAAAACTTGTGATTTAAGACATGAATAGGTTGCGGGATTGGCCTAATAAATCGTAGATTTTGTGCCTTTATCGCCGTAGGACCTTAGGGATGATTTAGGGATATTTTGGGGCATTGGGTAAGTGAAATGTATGAGCATTTGGGTGGAAATCAATTCTGGTGCGTAGCAGATTTTGTTGTCATCACACAGTTCGCCTAACGAAGAAAGCTTCGCCTAGCGAACCATGTTGTTCCCAGACTCGCCTAGCGAAGAAAGCTTTGCCTAGCCAAGAAACTCGCCTCAGACTCGCCTAGCGAATATGCCATCGAACATAGCAGAGTTTCATGAATGTTGATTGTGTGCAGCGATGCCGTGATGTTTGATTCTATGATGAGTTAACATGAGTATAACAGTGAGTTTTTGGTGATGTGTACATGATGACATGATGATTTATATGATGTGATATGATGATATTACCATGATTTTGGGTGAATTATGTGATAACATGAGATATGATGATTTATGTGATGATGATGAATATGGTGAATGATGATGCACCATATGCTGTTATGATGAGGATTATTATTGTGACGTGTGCATCATGCATTCATGTGCATCCGGACTTATGTTCAGGATCTCGATTACTTTGGCTTCAATCCCATAGTGTGGATGTGAAGTATTTTGATGTGCTCCAGTTCTCTAGTAGAATTGATCCTATTGATGGGGATCTATGGAGGGTTGATGGCCCAGTGTCCATCGAACTGTGATGATTGGTACCACATGCATTGAGTTGTGTCGCATTGCATTTTTGAGTCTTTTTGTATGAATTATGCCTTGATTTATGTCTTTTGAGTTCTGCTATTTTATGTTGTTTGACGTATTTTGGGAAAGCCCGTAGTTACGGAGTATTGACCTATTTTGATGACTTTGGGAAATGTACGCTCTTTGGGTGGCTTTTTATGAGATTTATTTATTCACTCTGATTTCTGCGTTATTTTGCCTTAGTAATCGTGGGGTAGAAAAGGGTGTTACATTGTTAGTGTCCTGTCATCGGCGAATTTCACCTCATTCTTCAATATTGATTTTCACAAACAAATCATTCCTTCCTGTCATGCGATTCGAGCACCCGGAGTTAAGATACCATTGATCGCTACATTTTGCATATTCTCTCACAGTCACCATTACATTTTTATTGGCATATAAAAAATGTAACCGGTTACATCTGTCTTCTGTCACATCTAGTAATCGGTTACTAGCAAAGCATATCTGGTTACCATTGCATCTTGTGTTGCTTTCTACTTCAATGATCATCATCAACAGTGTATTCTCATCATCATTCTCTTGCCTTGCAAACTTTACTTCAAATTCTTATGAATCTTTCTTGTTGGCATTACATTCACTAGTAAAATGTCCAAGCTTTTAAGAATTATAGCATTGTACATTATTCTTATCAACCTTATTTCTTCCTCATCTTCTTGTATTATTATCACATTTGTAATTGTTTGATCCACCATCTTCGTTGTAGCTGTTTTCACCTTTTTGGAATGTTGAATTTTTGGAATTTTGGGAGTCCCTTCCACCATTGTTTTGATAGTTTTCTCTACCTATATTCATGGACCGCTTTAATTTCACCTTCTTGTCTCTTCCAACTAAATCGACTTAGAAATTAATCTTATCATTTGTCTTGTCAGCATCTCTCTCATCCATTATCTGCCCATGAGCCTAGAGAGAATTTTGCAACTCTTATTTGCTCATGATTGAAAGATCCTTGAATTTTTTAATTGAAACCACTACATTATCAAATCTTGATGTTAAATATCTCAATATTTTACAAACCACATATTGCTCAGTGATTATCTTTCTACATGTCTTCACTTGATTCACCAATCTTGTAATTCTTGTAGTAAATTAACTTATAGTTTCCTTCTCTTCCATCTAAATCAATTCCAGTTATGTCTTGTGAGTTTGTAACCTCATCACCTTTGCTTTATTAGTTCCTGCATAACTTTTTTTTAAGAATTTCGAAGCTTCTTGATGTGCAATCAACAATCTTCTCAAAGTTATCAACATCAACACATTGATGAATCAGATGCAAAGCTTTGAAATCTTTTGTCATCTCTTCTTTATATGCAGTTGTTTGTGCAGCCGTTGCACCTTCTACAAGTGAATTAAAACCATTTTAGATCACTTCAAGAACATCTTAATATCCAAACACCACTTTTATCTGTTTGTACCACTTATCATAATTCTTCGCATTAAGAATTGAGAGATTTGAAAGGATACGTTCACTGGAGATGGAAAATATTTCCACACACTTATTGTTTGATCAAATAATCAGGTTCTTGATGTCAAATGTTGAGGTTAGAAACACCAAGTGGAGAATAATGAACAATAATAGAGAGTGTAGGAGAAAGAGAGAGTTTTGAGAGAATGAGTAGAAAAAGTAGTTGTATATTTCATTGATCAACCCAATGAGTTATTTACTACATCAAACAATAGTCAAACAACTTAACAAACTTAACAAAACAACTAATATTTTGAGGTAGTAATTGGTTACACATTTCTAATAATCGATTATGAAAAGCTATTGTTTTAGGCGATAATCGATTACACAAAAGTGATATTTGATTACGAGAAGCTACTGAATTTGATGGTAATTGATTATACATAAGAGGTAACCAATTACAAAAGCATTCTAGAATTATTTATAACCGGTTACAGTTTGAAAATAACCTGTTACCATCACTTGAATTACTATTTTCTCAACCGTTTTAAATATTTACTCAGTCTCACAAAAATTGTCAAAAACAATTCAAATTCAACTCGAAAAAAATGTGTCTATATTTACTATTTAATAACTCCTCAAACATAATTAACTACCTTTGATAAAAATATGTTAAGAATTCACATAAACAAAAAAAATACAGAAAAGAGATGCAACCTAATTAACCATTGATTCATTAACATACATAAAATATTTTACTTACATTTTCATTTTGTCAACTCAAAATGTTAGCATTCCCAATAAGCAACACCTAATTCCCTCTATACATATAAATAACATAAGCTAGTGTCAAAAATCACGAGGATCAACAAAAATGACATCTGAAAATGATTTATAATGAAAGGAATCAAAGGGTCCACATTCCTTGTTGATGTCCTCAAGATTCTTAATGCACCACATGTCTTCTGCCCAAGAAAATTTCCTCCAATGTGGGACAGCTTCCTTAACTGGGTCCCTTTGACTAACTTCAGCCACAATGGTCCCACAATCACCATCATCTCTAGCCATATTATGAACAAATCCACATAATGACTTCATAAGTTGTTTTCCATATTTACCCTCCATGTGTAATCCATACATTACATAAATCCCAAATGGCCTAAAAACATTAGGAAATGAAGGCAACCTTAACCATGGCAAACATTTGTCTAATAATCTTGTGCCTACACAACATGCATGTACAAATGGTGACACTCCTTTTACTTGCAATTTGAACACATCTTTTGTGTTCCACACACTTAATATTGCATAGCTTGGAGGAAAAATACCCTTTTTTGGATCCCATCTGTTAAGGTACTTTCTTGGAATGGCCATCAATGTGCCCAAATTAAGTTTGTTTGATAAAATCATGTCTATATCTTTAGGGAAGAATTCCGAATTGGCGAAAATATGCTTGTATATCGGCCCGCTCAGGCGAGGTGGTAGCCGAAGGACGGAAATGTTTGTGCTGATTGGCTTGTAGTGAGCATGAACTGGTTGCACTAGCATTGTTAGTGTTCTGAATTTTGAGTAACCACATTTTTTTGTGAACAAATTGATGGATGCTTCATTTGTACATTCGGTTGCCATGTATGCATACTTAGCCTCTTTTTGCTTGCACCATTCTTCTAAATGTTGAACTAGTTTTGTGCCAATGCCAAATCTCCTACATGTCATTTGAATTGAAAATCAAAAGTTAAGAAAAAGAATAAGACATGAGTGATAGTGGATACATCATTTCATATACATGTGTCAATGACAGAATAGCATGCTTAACTATACTTTATTCATCTTTCCATGATACTAGGAACATTAACCTTTTTATATTTCTTACAAAGAATCTAACTTATTATCACAACATCAACTTGACAAACAGAATAGAACCAAAAGTTCTGAAATGACTTTTGTGGAAAACTTTGATGAAAATCGAACCTGTGTTTCGGAGAGACTCTAAGTCCTAAAACATAAGCTAAATTCCCTCTTGTAACGCTTTTCACACACCCTCTTATCACTCCAACAACTTGTCCTTCTTCGCCGAATTCAGCAACCTGTTAGAACAAGAATATACATTAGTCCTCGCGTTCGTTTATCGAACAAAACCATATATATCGCATTAGTTACCAGCATGACATGTAATGGAAAGAGACGAATTCGGCATATAGGATCGCCCAATAAGTCAGTGACAAGAGAAGGTTTTCCTCTCTGTCCAACTTCACAGAGTCTCTCCAAATTCTCTACTGCCACTTTGTGTTTCACTTCATCATACTCTTTCATCACTATCAATGATTCTTCTACCTTCTTTGAGGATGATTTAGGCCACTTTTCAGCTGCAATTTTCAAAGACATTTTGACTAGTATAGAAATAAAGATCTTTGTTCTTGTTGCTAGTGATTCAAGGCTTGTTGTTATATATATAGGACCATGGAAGAATATCAAGACGTGGCACATCCCCTAAGTTTAGTGCACTTTTTTTCTTTTGGCAAAATAATGAAAAAAATTAAAAGGGAAAGAAATCTTAGCATGGATTATGTTGTTTCTATTACCTAGTAATGTTACATCATGCATGTGTTGATGTCTTTTGTTTCTAATCACTAATCCAATACACCATCTACCTATGGAAACAAATATTCATGATAAGATAAAAGGGTTACTATTACTCTCAAATCTTATAAATTTTTAGAAATGACTATCGCATTCTCTAAATTTTAAGTTCCGAACAAAATAGTTATGCTAAAATACAAATGCATTTGAATTTTTGAAATCTTGACGTATAATATATTGATAGAGTCAGAGTTTGATCAAATTCATCTTTATAAAGCCTAGGACCGACCCAACACATCGCGAGGTCTGAGACGAAATTTAAAGTTAAATATTTTTAATTTTTAAAAATATATTATCGATACCTGTGATTTTAAAATATCAAACAATACATATTATTATAGATTCTATTATTATTTAACTGATATATGACATAATTTAAAAGATATTTTTATAAATAAAAATTATTAAATATAATCATATATAAATATAAAATAAAAACGTGAGGCCCTAGGCGGTAGTCTAGGTGGCCTACCCCTAGGGCCGACCCTGATAAAACCGACTTATAAGGTGAGAGGTGTCACTTTATATAAATTCTTAATTGGTTCTATCTTTAACCAATGTAAGACTTGGATTTTTCTCAATACACCACCTCACGCTCAACACTATTAGGCTTGTAACGTGAATATAAATTGTGGATAGTCCAATGTATCGATATATGAGACTTGGTATTTTTAATACACCCCCCTTGCGTCCAACACTTTTTTTTAAATTCAGTGCGCATATATAAATGGTGTATTGCTCGAATCGATAGACCCATGATATCATGATAGAATTAGACTTTGACATAATTCATTCCTACAAAACCAATTTATAAAATGAAGGGTGTCACTCATAAACCCTTTTGTGAATTATATTTTTAATCAATTTGAGACTTAGAATTTTTTCCAATTCATATTACAACAGAGTTTAAATTCACACGAAACACGCTCAAAACTCGAAACCTTAAATGCTTTTTGTGTAGGGTTTAAATTTGACACATGCTCACATTTATAAACTTGCACAAGGGAGTGAAATAAAAAATAGGTAGACTAGTTTAGTCTTCATGTTCACAAAAGAAGTGTGATGTCTTTTTAATAACAATAAACAACAATGACAGAAATATAAGAATTTAAGGTAAGGTTTATCTATAGTCAAAATAGTAGGCTAACTATGCTTTAAAATAATTGTCCTTTTCTTATACTAATGATAGATAAGTAGTTATATCCTATCTAAAGTTTCAAGGCATGCAATTTCTCTAAGTTTGAAATGAATGAGACTTTGTTCAATCTTAGAAATAAAATTACATAGGATCAAATTTTACTTATTTACTCATTTAAAAGGTCACGTGTAGGTGTAGGGACATTACTATATTTTTTGGTTTTCATGTAGAAACTATCTTTTTAATTGATAATCAAACTACTAAGATGTTGCAACTTGTACATAATAAAATTTATTAAACAAACTAGGGTGATGATGACAAGTGTTAGAGAAACAAATCTCCTTATCTTAATACTTTGCTTTCACCAATTATTGAGCTAAGTTGTAAAAAAGCATGCTTCCACCATGTTTTTTGGTGAACATGTGGGAATGTGTTGTTGATCACATCATCATCATATACATTTTTCAATTCTTAATTGTACTACTCTTTTGTTTTCTTTTATGTTTTAAAACAAGTCTCCAATGTCTATGCACTTCCCTAGAAACTTCACTCTATCCCATATCATATAATTAATTCAAATTTATGTGTCATTTTTTCTAAATCAAGATGACTTTTGTTTTTCTATATCTCCAATAATGTGGTCCTAATCTACTAGAACTTACCTATTTAGGAATAGAAAATTTCATCCAAAATTTTGAACACTTTTAATTCCTTTCACTAGAACCACTTTACTTCAAATGATACATACAAATAGTACAAAAGCTAAAAAGAAAATGTGAAGAAGTTGGTCAATGTTAAGTTGCAAACTTTGATTTGTCATACTTATGATGTTTGTTGTATGAGGAAGTTGTGTTTGTTGACCTCATAGTACTAAAATCATCAAAATTTATAGATATTGTTTGAATTTTTTCTCTAAAAAACAAGGTGGTATGAAAAGTAGTAATCTAGAAAACATACTAAAATGGTGTAATTATCAAAGCCAAGTGTGTGTATATATATCCTAAAGTTTTAATGCCAAATCTTTTGCAGGAATTTGATGTCTAGAAAACTAAGGAAAAATGATGTGACAACATTAATGTTGCATATGACTAGCCAGTCAAGTCTTTGGTGTACTAATTTCCTTTTATGTTAAATTAACTAGAAGGGTAAAAAAATATAGACATTTACCAACATTTTGAATGAGAAAGAGGAATGCTTTTTATTTATTTGTTCTTTTCTTCTATAAATGCTCTTAGGAAATATCAATTTTCCACACTAATTCTTCAATATTAAGCATATGAGTTTGAAATCTTATATCATGTTTATAATATGTGGTTGAACCCATCCATATGTTTTTTGAGCCAATTATGTGAGCGAGTTGATGAATATAAATTGATTTATATTTTGAAATATTTATATTTACATGTAAAAATTGAATGAATAATAAATTTAAAGATAAAAGTTAATTTTAGAGACAAATACTTCATATTCTCATTTTAAGTTAAAATCACTTTTGGAGATAAATTAATTTTTTTTAAAATTAATTGAATGTATTGAAAAGTAAGAATAAAGTTCGCATTGAGTTGGACTCACACATCAAAAAGTTTGTTAGATAAAAATTTAAATGAATCAATATTAAAATCATGCATGTAATTACTTTTTAATAATATTTCAAACACTTTCAAAATGTCTTAAAGTCAACGAACAAGAATATTCAAGATAATTGAATCTGTATTAAAATCTGTATAAAGTAGATGAAAACTCAAATATGCAGGGAAGATGGAAATCTAAAATTTACACCGAAAATGATATATTAATGTTATGTATTTTTCGGAATCTGAAATGTCCAATTTATAGGATAAGTAGTGTTGTTTCACAAGGTTGCGACCCTTGACGAAACATATTATTTTAGCTGGTAAAACAACACTTCACATATACTATCGCACTTTCTCCACATGATCTCTAAGAAAATTATGACGGATCTCAATGGTTTGGTCCGTGAATTAAGTACCAGATTCACTACGTCAAAAGTAGTTTTTGCCAGCACTACAAAGACAACGTTTTTCCATAAAAGCGCTGTTAAAAGATAAAAAATTTATTAAAAACAAACAAGAGAAAAAAGCGCTGCTAAAGGGGGCCTTTAGAAAGCGCTTTTAAAAAGCGCTGCAAAAGGTCATATGTGAGTAACCAATAGAAAGCGTTTTTGGAGAAAACGCTGCTAAAGCCTAACATTAGAAAGCGCTGTTATAGGGGGGTATCTTAGACAACGCTTTTCAAAAGCGCTGCTATAGGGGGTGTCTAGGCACACCTTAGACAACGCTTTTCAAAAGAGCTGCTAAAGGGCTAACAAACGAAAGCGTTTTTCCAGAGAAAGCGTTGCTATAAGGGGAGGGGAAAGAAAGCACTTTTAAAAAGCGCTGCTATAGGTCTGTTTTCCTAAATTAAAACAGAATGCGTATTTTATTTCTGACGTATTCTGTTTCACTCTCTCACTCTCAGACGAACATACGAACCCTACCAGATCTCCTACCGCCTTTCTTCCTCCGTCCAGCCGTGCTACCGTCGTTCATCGTCTCGAACCGCCGTAGCAACCTCCGACCTCAGTTTATTCATCATCTCGAACCACCCTAGCAACCTCGTGACACCATTGTTGAAGGTATTTCTTTATTTTCTTCAATTTCAAAGTTATTTGCATGGTATTTATTTAATTGTTTATTTGTTTATTTGTTTACATTGTGATTTTGTTGTTATTTGACTTCAATGGATGTTTGAATGCCATTTTAGTAGTAAGGTTCAAGATGATGAATAGTGAGGTTTGTGATGATTTTTTTTATTTTTAGTGTTAATAATTTTATAAGTTAATGTTGAATGTTAGTGATAATGGCTTTGTCTTGATCGAATTTTTTTATTGCAAATGATAACTAAATTAATTGTTAATAGTTAAGGTTGAAGATGATGAATAGTGATGACATTGTGAATTTATTTTTTTAAATTGATGATGTTGTTGATTGAAACTTGAATGACATTCGTGAACAAATTGTTGAATATTGTGATGTTGTTGATTGTTTAAACTTAGGTGACGAAAAGTTGTTATATTTGGTAATTTTTATGTGGATTTGATCATTTTGGTGATTGATTTACACTCGAATTGATGATTTTTTTGTGACTTACTTGAGTTAAAACATTAAGTGTGATTGAATTTGCGCGTTTACTATAGTTGTTCGGTAGCTATAGTTGCACGAATAATTAGTGTTTTTGTTTAGCTTACTTAGTAAAAACCATGGATAAAAAATGGATGTCTTCCAATCTATTGTCAAAAGAGTACAAGGATGGGGTATCAAAATTCTTTAAGTTTGTCGTTGAACACACCAAAGACCCCATTCGGATCACATGCCCTTGCTTAAGTTGCTGTTATGAGCGTCGGATTGACGCAGTTCAGTTGGAATCACATTTAAAGAGGCATGGAATTGATCGAAGATATACGTGTTGGATATTAAATGGTGAGATACGTAATAAGAATGTTGAACTGATGGATAATAGGACCTATGATTCAAAGGACAATGTCACAGATACATACGACTGTGATCGAGTTGAAGAGATTGTAGAAGCACTTGAAGAAGTGTAGCAC